AACAAAAAAATGAAAAAGCTCATGTGCGCTGTTCTTTTATGGTTCAAGGCGCCATCTGTTTAGAAGCCTTTTTCTCTAAAAAATGAACGCAAAACGAAGATAAAAGAATGCACTTTTATACATTATTCACTATCCTCTACAACATAGTCGTACTAGTTTTAGCCGCATTTGCACCTTAACTTTGACATAAAAGTCTACCATTACGTGGACTAGCTGATATCTATAAACATACATATTTATACATATTCCTTCGAAACTCCTACCTTAAAACAAATAAGTTCGCAGAGAATGCAAATTATGCACGCGATCTATCAACTTGCTGATGAAACTTCTCTTTTAACTATATGATATTAATCACTGTTGTTGCCGTGATGTAGAATATTACGATAAACCTTGATTAAAATATCGACTATACAACAAACTTAACATTACATAAATTGTCTATACTCTTAGTTCATCTTGGATTAACTATCTATGAATAACTTTACGGCTGGACACACAATTTTTGAATAATTGGATTCACAAGTAAAACAAATGTGTGCAAACCAACGGTCACCTATGTACAGACAACCTCTAAGACAACGACTTGCAAATATAAATTCGGATCACGAATCGACCACTCCAACACAATACCTTGGGCATGTGAAACCGAGGCAGTTCTACTCAAAACTTGTATGAGATAGTCGATAAAATCTGATCTGAAGAACATTGTTGCTAACTTAACAATTATGTCATAATTTCATCTCATCTAACAGGATATGCGGAACACAAAATATTTGAATATCGAGTGAATGTGACAATAAATCCGGCTAATTATAATGTTTTACTTAAACGTGTATCAGTCATTTTCATAACTAAATTCACTTCTTTCTCATAATGATGGTAGTTAGCGGCTTGATCAACTGGAATTAACTATTGAAATAAATTAGTATCACGTCCTTTTATCATAGTCACACGCAGTTTTGACAGCGGCACTGGGTCGATTTCATCACCATCAAATAACCGATTACTAGCAAAATTACGTCTCGCTGTTAACAAAGTATGCGTATGACGGTTGTTCAATTTCCCACACTGGAGCTACTATATCCAATTATTCTAATTGTTTAATTAATGAACCATGATATTTCCTTGACGCTATGAAACTCCAAATGGTTTGACGAGTTGCGTCAACTAGTTTCGAACATGTAGGTGTTCTGGCTATGATACTCGATGCTGCAGCTAATCGGATGCGTGCAACGAATATTGATGGTATTGATGACTCTGCTTTAGAGATTTGCGGGACAGTCCCAGGACTTTTAATGCGGCCGGGACCAAGTTTTTTTGAAAATAGTCTTGTATGGAGCATAAAAATTTCTCAGTTTCTGTACTTGTTTGTATGTAGACACCAGTTCTGCGAGAAAAAACTCATAGAAAATTCTAAAGTCTTCAATTACTACCACACACGCATACTGTTCCACAAGCCACATTACAATGCGCTGACTTTCAAACTATCAGCGCTACATTGAAATAATATTTACGAGACCCGGTCCAAAAACGAGTTCTTTCTACGGGACTGGGATCAAAAAAGTACTACTCTGCTTGCTTCCTAAGCGTCTCCGGCTACTTTCGGATGTATCATCGTACCACCGATTACTGACAAAAAATTGAAATGAAAATAATGAAATGCTAAGTCTTTTAAATTTCTTATTTGAAATCATCTATCATCTATAGTGAACTTCACTGCAATTATAGATGAAAATTAAATTTCAATTAAAATTGAAATCTTGGCATTCAGCATTTTAATGGACAATACTGAAACAGCACAAGAAACGCCGGCTCATCATAAATGGATGTTAGAAGCATTGAAATTAGCACGTCAAGCATTAGAAAAACAAGAAGTACCAGGTTAGATGTTTAGCATTGTTGAAATATTTTTTTACATTATCTCTTTGTTTTAAAGTTGGCTGCGTTATTGTACATAATGAGAAGATAATAGCCGATGGAAAAAACGAACCGGTGCAAGCGAGGAATGCAACAAGATATGCAGAAATATGTGCAGTTGATAAAATCATTGATTCTTACAAAACGAATTTACAAGAAGGCTTGAAAGTAAGCTCCCAATCTTTCTATTTTTGTTGATAAGTTAAGTTGTAAGGTTTCTTGTTTCCTTCTAGATTTTATCAGAATCAACATTATCTGTAACATGTGAACCGTGTATGATGTGTGCGGGTGCATTACGCTTACTTGGTTTGAAAAATGTTTATTACGGATGTTCAAATGATCGTTTTGGTGGATGTGGCTCCGTACTAAATGTTGCAACAGATGTGATTGAGAATTACGGACAAGAACTCAAATGTATCGGTGGTATTGAAAGTGAAGAAGGAATGAGATTCTTAAAAAGATTTTATACAAATACAAACGGAAATGCACCTCAACCAATTCAGAAAAATAAACGCATAAAACAGACTGTTGCTGTTCATCCAACAGAACCTGTCTCTTAGACTGTTACATGCCATATCAAAGTTCTTTTATTCTAAGGATGGATAAGCTGAAAATGAATACCGTAAATTGATTCTGATACTTGTTTGATAGAAAAACATATTTATGCTTAACACCTAAGTTAAGTAGCTTTTCAACTGTACAGAAAACATTGGGCTATTGAGACTGACGTCGTCATCGGCTTTCTACACGAGTAGTGACGGTCACAAGGCGGTGTATTCTTCCTTCTTCTGTGGTGGCTAGTGAACAAAAGGCCGGTCTTATGCAGAGGTTTTTTTCTTTGTGGCATATGAGGATAATACTTGAATGTCTAATAGTAGAGTCTTGCAGATTTTAGTTTTTCGAACCCGATATCATTCTAAACTCGCTCAAACTCGAAAAAGTTGTTTCAAAAGCGACAACAGTTAGATGAGAATGATAAGTATGAACAGTCAAGAAGCAGAAACTCAATCAAAATAGAGTTGTATGTGTATGTCAAACATGAGGATACATATAGAAAAGAAAAGGTGATCTGTATGCGACATCAAGAAAAAGATCAGGATACGCTAAAAGAGAAAACTCTAATGATAGTTTTAATGGCAGTAAAAATTTGAATGAAATAAAATAGTAGAAGTAACCTGAAAAGAAAGTGTTCATTTGGAAAAAATAAGACAGAGTAAGCCCATGTAGGAGGTCCAACAGTGATGGGAGAAGAAGGTTCTACATAGATACTTTGTGTAGAAATGTCGTTTTGGTTTAATTAAGCTTTATTTAAAAATTAAATTTTTGACATTACTATGAAAACAACGTTCGTCTGTTCTACTTTTTGAATGACTCAATACCACACCCAAAAGTTTAAATAAATCTTAAGGTGTTTACCTTGTCTATCGAAACAAAAATACTTCAGAACGAAAAAATAAACTTGAATAAGATTGGTTTTGTATTTAGAAGTCGGTTTATATTCACCTATTTTACATATCATTTCGAACCAGCGAATCACCTAGTTTATTAAATATAGCATAAAACTTCATTGATATCTTATAGTTTGTAATAATGTACATAAGTGCAAAAATACACTCAAAAAAATGTTTAAAAGGAATATATCAACTTGAGAAAGGGGTCGAATAAAACAGATGATTACAGATTCATAGTTTATTTTGAATAAATTTTTAATTTAGTCAAAAGAAAACGAACATCACCGGCTTTGGTGAGAGAAAATAAAAGTAGATTGTGTGATTTTAACAACTTGGTGGCTCCGTATGAAATTCATTTAATGGTTGAACAAGTTTATTTCGCACAAGAAAGGACGCTAAAGCATGTGCAACTTTATCTGGAGCGTCTTCATGTACGGCATGACCACTTTGTTGAACAAGTTTCATTTGAAATTTTCCTTGCATTTGTCCCACAGTCAAATCACGATCTAAACGATCGATACCGGCTAATAATAATAATTTTGGACAATTGCACGATAAAAATAAATTTGATAAACCTTAAAAATAAATAAACATAAATAGACGTTTAGAAAAAATAAACGACAAATAATGGAGTTTACCTTTAAACCATCCTTCCCAAAATTTCTCCGTTTTTGATAAATCAATTCGCCACGTATACAATGGTGATGATGTCGACGTCGATTGAACTGGAACACTTTCACTATGTTTAATTACTTCTGATTTTTTTTGATTATCTCCTTCGTCTTCTTCTTCATCTTCTTCATCTTCTTCAGCAACTGTCGAGCACAAATGACTAGGCGGTGATTGTTGTACATTTTGGGTATCTGTAATGTTATCATTATTATCTAACTGTTGAATGTCTTTTACTTGTTGTATTTGTCCAACAACAGATACACGTGCTGATTCAACATTTCGAACCTATACAAAAACAAATTAAAAAGTTTATATATTCCGATAAATATTTTATATGAAACAACTCTATTAACTGTTCTTTCCAGTAAATGTTGTCAAAAAAAATTTCAGTCGTCAATTAGCTTTGTGAATACAAAAGATAAGTCTACCTGTCCACTTCGCACCATATATTGTATGGCTTGCTCTATTGTATTAAATTGTTTTGGTCTTGAACTTAAAAAGCATTGCATTGAGCTTAGAGCTTCTAATGCACTTCCTATAGGAAACAATATTCAAATTAAAGAAGAAAGCAAACTATTACAAATTAAATACCTTCAACTACATCAATCACACATAAAGCAGATATCATTGACGGACATTTCTTAGCAACGTGGACAGCTAATGCACCACCTAACAATACAAGATGAATTATACAAAGTCAAATGTTAAATTCTATCATTTACCCATTGAATGACCAACTAAGAATATTGGTACATGTGACTGTATTTCTTCGTCAATGGAATCGTCTTCTTTTCCAAATAATTTCTTAATTACTTTACATATATCATTTGTCAATGTTTCAATTTGTAATTCTTGATCGTTACTTGTTCTAGTTTCGCCATGTCCACGAATATCAATTGCACAACAACGACATCGTACTAATCCAGTTATAAGAGCAGATAAGGGTGCCCATGATAAACCGCTAAATCCACCGCCCAAAAAGAAAATGGAATCAGTGACATAACATTAAAAAAAAATTTCTAACTGTGAAATATTTACCATGTAGAAAAACAAATATTGGACATTCTTCATTGATGTCATCATTGATTTGTTGTTCTTCTGATTGTTCTTCATGTTTTTCACGAAAATACACACAAAAAACATTTTCATCAATTTCAATCAATTTTTTTTCATCAAAATAATTATGCCAATCAATTGGAGTATAGACACGTGACGATTTCTTGTTGTTATTTAATAATAGACGGTTAGCACCACTAGTAGTATTAGCCATACGTGGCCCAATGGGCGGTAATGTTTTCGCTAAAATTTGTTTGCGTAGATTCGACATATCTACAATAATAAAATTAACGATAGGATATGTAACATATCATTTAAATACACAAAAACATCGTTTTTTCTGAACTTTTAAGATAAAAGTTAAGTGAGAGAACATTTTTTTAGAAAGTAAAATAAGTTAGTTCATAGCTGTTCCTAGTTAAACAGAATATCATTGTTATTTGTAGAATAACGTTCTCGTATTTTATAACTGGAAATCTCGATAAGATGGATCATCGATATCATCAAGTAGGCGTTTTCTATACAGACAGATGTTTGACTTGAACAATTGAAAAGAAGATATGATTTATCCATTTTAGACTAGAAACCGTCTAGTCTTACTTAGCTTTTACTATATTTGTCTAAGAGCTGAGCAAAACTTTTATAAGAGTCTGTTCATATGATAATTGTTAAGGACATCGTGACTAGATAAGAAGTTTTGCATCTTGTTTCCAAAACGTTTTCCTCTAAGGCTTACAATGACTTTCCCAGTAAAAGCTTGACTATCATTCATTGCGTTTTTAGCATCTTTAAAACTAAAAAAGAATCAAGTTATTACACTAACAATAGCACTTAAGTTGAACTAATAAACAATGTATATGTATCTTGTTAATTATTAAAGGTTTTGTTGACAATACGTTTATTTTTTTTAAAAACATGAAACAAATCTATTTTAACGTTGTTGACAACTTCAGTAGTAAAAAGAACAAGTAGATAAGCATACACTTCCTTTTAGGACTAGAACATGAGATAAAGATTAAAAAAACACTGAAAAGACATAAATATTAGTCCATGAGATTATTTTCTTCTTCTGAACTACTTTGACGGTTTAAATCTAGTTGATTTCCACTTAAAATCGGTCGCTGTTCAGCATATTTACGTCGCGTTGTCGGCGCTGTTTTTGTGACAGTTGATGTTGAAACAATCGTGCGTGCCGTTATTAATGAGGATGATGCAGGATTAGGACGTGGCATTTTTTTTAATTCAGCCATTATTTTATTATTTGGTGTTATACGACTAACCAATTTTGTTATTAAAATATTAACAAATACAAGTAAATGTTTTACAATTGTCATAGTAAAAACGGATAATGGCTTTGTCATTTTTCTGAATAATGATGTTGACATTTTTCCAGTTTTTAATTTTGATAATTTATTTTGATTATTATTTGTTCCCATTTCATTATTAATTTCATTTGAAGTTGTTTGTTGACATTTTGTTAGAATACTTTCATTTGAATTTTTTAATTTTAATAAAATAAATACAATAAGTAGACGAAGCCATGCCGTTGATTGATGAATCGATAAACGAAATGAATTTAATAAAAATTGAATAATAATCATTACGACATCTCGTACACGTTGAACTAATAAATTTAAACGTTGACCAAAATCTTTTCGTCGAACAGGATGTTGAAAGACGGGTTCTAAATATAGATAAAATGATTTTATTCAAGCAATTCACATCTAAGAAATAATTTAGCACAGATTTTCTTTTTTCACTCACAAAATGTATCTAACTCTAAATTTTAAAAAAAAACCAATGGATAGAAAGACTACTATTAGATGGTGCACGTTCTCCTCATCCCGTTTCTACAGTTTATTGAACCGCTTTGTATAGTCAAAAGAAAGCGAGAACTAGAGATTTTGCAATGGTGAACTTACTTCCAGGTATATGCGTTTCACAGAAAGTAAAAACTGTATCAGCCATATCGGTCGCTTTATTAACCGTAACACTTGCTACGTTCGACACCTAAAAAAAAAACACTATACAAATCAATTAACACTGTCTTGTTTGCTTGAGTCATAACAAAATTCACCTACTCTCTCTTTCCCTAGTTGAAATGTCGATGTTGTTGTATCTTTTACAGCATTCATTACTTGTCGAACCGGTTCAGTTTTTACATTGAGTGACTCAACAACCTGCAAAAAACAATAAACCATTCAGTTTAATTATGTTTAGTAAATAATTTATTTTATAAATACCTGTTTTGTTGGCGTATTGATAACTGGATATTTTGCCTCAATTTGCTTAATTTTTTGTGCAGCATAATCATCGAAAACCTTTGCTAGAGCCAAATAGAAGCACTCTTTGTATACTGACATTTTAAACTATATTCGAACGTACCTGGTCCACTAAATGGTGTTGCCACCACAGTAGCTATTTTAATTGATTTATCAGCAACTGTTTCAGCTAGATTACATGGAAGTCGAATAAATGCACTTTTTTCTTTAGCTTTTGTATAGACGTCTTGTATTGCTTCAGTTGATGAACGGATGACTAAACATATTAAAACTTAAAATGAATTTAGAATTAAATCTTTTTCAACCTTACTAGGGATATCATGAATGCATGAAACAGTCTGAATTGCAACCATTTTTATTTATATAAACAAGTAATGAAAAGAATAAACAAAACGAATTAATCTATAAATAATTTCCTCAATCAACGAGAAAGATTTTATGTGAACACACACATGGTGATTCAACCTCTATTTACACAAGAAACAGTGAACATATTTTGCTCGAATAAGCAAATAAAAATGTAATTGAGTTTAAAAGTATCAAATCGATTCAACATGCATACAGAAATGAATTAAAAGAGTAAGACAATTATCGACTAGATATCAGAATTTCAAAGTTTAATATAATACGAATTCAAACATCGTCTGCTAATGCAATGAGAAAAACAAACGACTTAAAGATGAAAGTGGAATAGTTTAAATGTTTTTTCTTGCTAACTCTTCATCTATTTTCTACCATTGCACGTGATTTGTCGCATTTTCGAATAGAATCACGTTTTTCAATCAGCTGTGACCAGATGAACCAACTAGCAATCCCACTGGCTTCAAACATCGGCTAACTCTTATTTTTCGTTTTACAAAACGTGATGCTATTTTTTATAATATAAATCACTACTATATATATTCGTCAGACAATTTTCTCGGGCTACTGTACTCTACTTACTACTGTAACAAACTGACTATAGATAAAAAGAAGAAAGCATGTAAAGAAAAACTTTTTTGCAATTCAATTTAAAGAAAAAAAATGTAAACACTGACCTTTGGAACGAAGGGCGCGACAAAGGATGTTGAAAACATACTTCAATAATTTTCAGACAAGAAACTTAGCACATTTAGGTGTTGAAACCTATGTTCAAGGTTATTTCTACACGTACATTGAATCTCATGTAAGATGAAAATTTTCCAGCAAATGTACCTAATATAATAATTTTCTAAAAGAACATTTTCTCTAGTTCTCGAACGTATTAACGTTCAGACACACTTTATTATCAAAAGAGAAATTTCACGTACGAGGTGATAGAAAGTCGTAATTACAAGCACGAAGTCCACTATTTGCTTTCATATATTAACAATATCGTTATACCACACACGTAGGGACGTACCAAGCCTTGAGACCTTGCCGTGTAGGTTGATAAGTCTCTTGGCTTTGAGAAAGAGCAACTTCACCTATTAGTGGTAACAGTTACTTAACGAAAAAGGTTTTGACATGCGTGGTGTCGAAAGCCACATGAGAAAAGTAAAAAATTTTCCATAAAGTCCACAGCATCTACTCAGCGCTTTGGAGACGAGAAAGATCACTTAGAAAAGTGTCCGGCACAATTTACAACGCGGTTCAATGTAGATGTTAAAAGCGTGAAAAAAGACAGATTCTAATCATAAGAAAGCTAGATCTTTTTCAAAATATCGAAAGTAAAAAAATAAATAATATAATAAAAAGACGGTTTCCCGTCGGCGATCAAAACTTCCATAAGCACAACAGCTCCCAGAAATAATGAGCACTTCAAGTATTTTTAGCGTAGATGTACAAAATGCAATTCAGTATGAGTTTACCTGATCGTTGTATTAAAAATGATGTTTGCTTGAACAATGAATCTATACTGATAAGATAGAAAACCTAAACTTGATATAACATTTTTCTAAAGTATATATTCAGGATTCTCAAATTTGTGATCAATGCATTTTACTTTAACAAATTCAGACATATTTCAATCCTTTTTTAGAAGGTATCCAGGGATCTTCTCTAGTTAATTAAGAATATATGAAACACTCGAGATAGCTTAAGCGAACTCGGATTCAAAATCAACGTAGATAGTATAACAAAGTATACAAAAAGGAAGTATATTTTCGATTGTTTAATATTTTTTTCAGTTTGCATACAAATACAAAACTATAAATCTTAGAAAAAAGAATAAATTTGAAAAAAATGTAATTATTGAGCGGAGACTAAATTTAATCGTTGGCAACAAGATTTACGATAAATCTAAAGAGAGAAAACAGGAAAATGTTTTCTTTTCAGGTATTTATAAAGCTCTTGCCTAAACTATAACTAATTGGAGCGTTTATCGGCAAAATACTAGTTGGAGTAGAGGTCTGAAAATAAAAAACAGGTTAAACAACAAATCAGTTTCATTAAGCAAGATTCAACCAGATTAGAGAGTAGGAGAGAACAGTTGGTAGAATAGAACACTAAAGCTATGAATTTTAAAGCGTTAATATTATTTTGGGTTAAACTAGACTTTAAAATAGGAGCATGATCTTACAAGCGTGTGAGTTATGGGATTTCATAATTTTTTAAAGTTCTACCGAGGTTATTTTTTCTTTAGCAAAATTTTTTCAAAGACATTCGTTCAGAGAGGATATAAACGTATGCTATAGTTCCATACATTTGAAGTGATTTTGCAGTAGCTTCTCACTTGTATTAGTCATTTGTCTGGCAATTAGATACTTAAAGTGACACTTTAGCATTTTAGTACACAACTTCAAAATGAAACTCGGCTTTTCATCATTCGCCTCTACAGCTTTGGAAGTGAATTCACTGTCACTGATTAAACACCTGGACTTTTTCTGTTTGCAGAAAAGTAGCTAACAGAACATTTTGAGAAACAAAACCGAGGAATTAAATACATTAAAATATATAATTTGAATCACACTGTCAAAAATGTCTTATAAAATCCGTGGGTAAGTCGCATTAAAAATGTTGTTTTTTTCGGGATATTACACTTTAACCGTCAGCTTCAACTTCTTTAACGTTGAATAAAATGGCTTTGTCGTGACCATCAGGAAAAAATGTTACTTTCAACATTTTTACCGTCAACTTTTCCAGTCACATTTTTTCCATTTAAAACCACAGATTTTCAGCGTCATCACAATGCTAGACAGTGTTTATAATGACTGGTGGTCCCTGCGAAAGCCAAGCGATCTTTTACTTTGTAGAAGTCCATTCCCAGTCTGTTTTCCACTTCGAAAATGAAGAAAACTGCTTTACAGACCACTTCGCTTTTCCAAATTTATGCTTCACTTTTTTTCTGATCTGAACTAACTTCACCGTGATGATTAATCTTGTTGGCTTACTCCTTTTTATCACATAGAGACACAAATGCCTGTTTGTCCGACCGTCAGACAAACAAATTGATTTATGGTAGTTTTAAGCAAATACTAGATTATCACATTACTTAATAAATTGCATAATGGCCATTTCCTTTGTTTCGGATAAAAATATTTAGCCATGAAAACGACTTTCCATGTTTTTTATGTTCCTTATTACATGAACTACGTTAAAGAAATTAAAGAAAAGTTGTTCTTTAACAGTTCTTTTTATCACTTTTGCTCCGAGGAAGTTCAAGACTGGACCTAGCCGACGCCAACATCGTCGAAGAGGTCGAAGTTTTTATTTCTGTTTTTGTTTTATTAATGTAAATTTTTACTTTTTTGTTCGTTTTCTATAAGCTTCCTTAACTCTTATAAACTGTACTGTAAAAATAAAGTAAAAGTTATCTGACCGCAACGGCCAATTTTTCTCAACATTTTCTGTCTGTGGCTTCTTTACAATACTGAAGAACTTTTGCGTTTGCTCCGAGAAACATCAAAACTGGATCTAGATCTAGCTGTCACCAACACTCTGAAAGAATTAAATGATAGCAATGTAAGTTGTACAGAAATACAGAAAAAAAAGATGTCTGGTCCAATGAATAGTAACCATTCATTCCGGGTATGCACAGCAAAAATATACCATACAATGACTTTACCGTTTTCTGTCACGCTAAAAACGTAACATTCTAGGTTGTTTATTGCTGAACAACGTAACAGGAAAACCATTGACATACTATGTAACGAGAAAGATGTAACATTACTTTTACTCCATTGGTCGATTCTAACCAATGGCAAATCCTCTCACAGCAAAGAGGAGTGATGATGATGATCAGGGGTCTCAAATTATTTTTTTCGAATGTGGTGGTGACTATTTTTACTGACCGACCGACCGACCTTACTGACCAAATTTGATTGGTGTAACCATGGGATAGACTAATCAAATTTGGTCAGTAAAGTCAGTCGGTCAGTAAAAATAGTCACCACCTCGAATGTGGGTCAGAAAGTTCCGAATGGTGGACGCTTATTTTAACGAAATAACGTCATGTCAATCTACAATACCCGATGAGCTCAACTAAAGTCACATATTACAAATAAATTAAAATCAATATTGTGAATTTTTTTTAACCATTTATCGTTGCATTGTTGTTTCTTCTTATAGCTCTAATTTACAGTTCATTCTTTCAAAACTAATTTTTCAAATTTCCAACAATAGATTTTTCCTTTCAATTAGGTTCTATCGACAAATTCATATCACACGTTTGATAAACCCTGGGACGCGCACGACAGGAACAGTGATGTTTTGGGGGACGGCTCACGGATCTGAGAATAACTCTATTTACTACAAACTATCCAAACACCTATATGATAATGATCTTTATGACAAGATATGCTAAAGAGGGCATAAATCTTTGCATATTATGTAACAGACAATTTTTTCATCTCAAATATGACGCTGAAGTAGTAGGAGTTCAAATAAATTGCCAGTGGGAACGAAATATGCCCCCCATGGGAAATTTATTTACTGGGGGACAAAATGGTCGAATGGGAGACATCTGAGAACCCTGGTGATGTTACAGTAAAAATGTTAGCAGAATTCATCCGGATATATCGTTGCTATAGAAAAAACGTTAAGACAACATATATAAAGTCACAGGAAAAACGTTGCATCATTTTTTATGGAGTTTTTACTGTGCGTTTTTTGCATTTTTGCTGTTAATCTTTTTTACAGGATACAGTCAGTCAAAATCAGTTACGTCTTTTCTTGTGCGAATAGCTGCGAGTAGAAAAATAGGTGAGAAACTCCACAATGCTATAAATTAAAATAATCTTGCTTTCTATCTGTACGTCGTGACTTATTTTGGATAATCTGTCATATATTATTTCAACACAGAAATTATGTCTGAAAAGGCGTAGTGACATAATTACATGGTTAATTGCATAAAAGAAGTCACATGAAAGAAGTCAAATATCGGTGGAAGAAGCGTTCCTCCAACGAGGCAGGCCTAAAGTTCAGAAGCAAAGAAAAACACTGTAAATTTGAGAACAGAAAAGTCGTGATTTTTTATCTACTTTTTTCTGAATCACATGCAAAAGTTCATTCCATCATTGAGTAAGGTTTGTGAAATTATGTCATTTCAACCCGGAGACTGCCAGTCAGCTCTGTAATCTTTCACTCACTTTACTTCATAATTTCATGGAGCTGACTTCGGGTTGAAAAGGCCGGGATTTCACAGACCTTACTCAAAGAAATATTACTATAACAAGTAAACTTAAGATATTTTAAGGAGTTTTCTGTAGAATTCCTGGATAATTAATGGAAATGGTGATTAAATTGCACCGTTTAAGTAAATATGGGACGAAAGACGTAAGTTGGGAATAAGAGAATGAAAGAACATGTCTTATGTCATTTTTTTTAAATAGAAATCTAGCAGATAAGGAGATATTTCTTTCCATATCAGATATCCCATGTGTGGACATTTTTTCATCTCAGCGCGGCGATAGAAAAGCAAGAGAATAGAAAGATACGCAACTGCGAAAAGAGATCCTCGTATTTGGTAGTTCTCTAATGTTGGATTCTATTCAATTAACGACATATTCATAGCAATTAAAAGAATAAGGAAAAAATACGAAAATGAAAAGTGTTTTAACGACAGAAAAGAAATGCTATGACGTTAGCGTTACGAACTGGTTTCTTTTCTCTCGCTCTCACTGACATATTTTTAAAAACAGCAAAGTTATAACAAAAACTCTTTCGTTCAGAACAAAATTAACATATTTCAGATTGTTATGTACAATATGTTCTTTCCTTCCATAGCATATTAAATCAGTCTTTCTCTTACTTCAAAACTACAATGTAATTAAGAAACAGAGACATGTTCTACAAAAACGTGTTCGTTTCTTATAGACACGTCTAGTCGTTTGTCTTCTTTCGTCCCATCTTTACGTTTAAGGGATATGAGTCATTCATGAATAAGATAGACTGAAAATGTGTAAGATTGGGAAGAAAATAGTTTTGTTCTAGGTGAGCGATGAAACGCGTGACAGTCTAAATAACGGATAGGCCATAAAGAATAGCGATCTCAGTATTACGCAAATATCTGGCTCAGTTTTCATTGTCCAGCCTTCAGTATGTTTATAAAAGATTCGTTGTTTCATTCTCTGCAAAAAACATATTGAACATTTTTTTATATATCGTAGAAATAAAAGAATATAGGTGAAATACTGCGAAGCTTCAATTTTCATTGGTTCCAAAAACCAAAAAACAGTTTTAATTATAGTTTTGTATATTGCGATACAGAATAAGAGAAGATGACCGTTTTGTAGTCCTTGAAAAGTTCTATCAATCGGCTACGCTTAAAGCTTCTCATAATCAATTCGTTGCGGAAGAAGGTTTTGCTTATATTGATTTTATTAAAAATTACCGTTTTCAAACTGCAGTTTTGGTGACAGTTGTAAAATTTTTGTAAATCGGCCAAAATCAAATATTTTGAGGTCTGGTATGTCGTCTTATCTTAAAGAAAAATAATTCTTCTATTACATCCGAACAGAGAAAGTTCGATAGCTCCATTTCCTTTCCACTGGCAAGGTAAAAAGGTGGAAATTTTTATTTTTTTTGATAGACTAGTAAAAAAACACGTTCAGACAATCTATGATACATGAAAAGAAAGATGACACTTCGAAGCACCAGAACATTTAAAATAAAGTGTTCAAAATAAACATCTTTTCGTTGTGTTTTGGGTTTGAAAGGAATGAAAGTTGAAGCGTCGCAGTATTTCACCTATATTCTTGTATTTCTACGGTATATAAAAAATGTTCAATATGTTTTTTTTGTAGAGAATGAAACAAACAATACTGAAGCCTTGACAATAAGAATTGAGCAAGATATCTGCGTAATACTAAGTCTATTCTTTATGACCATTCTGAATAACCTCTTCGAATTCAATCTTTCGGTCGAATTTAGTTACTTTCAGCCGAGTTTTTCATCCAGAAACACAAGAAATTTCATAGCAACGCTGCAAACTCACTTTTCGTGAATAAAATGGTCTTAGTATTAGTTTTATTATTTATTTATTTTATTTCGAATCACTCGAGTCATCAAAGATCCGTGACCTATAATATCGATAACTCAGACCAGAATAAAAAGAGATAGGGAAACAAAAAAAAAGAAAATAAATAAATAAAACTAATGATAATAACAGAAGTAAACAAAACAAAAGAAAAAGAGACTAGAATATGCAACGAGTATATAAAAGTAACAATAAAAGATAGACACAAATAAAATAATTCTAGAGAAGCAACCAATACCAGTTAATTATGACTAGGGACACGGCTGATATTTTTCTGTAAGAGATATTGAACTAGTGCCTTTTTGAAAGACGCTAATGAAGAAAAACAAATAACTGACCCAGGAGGTTCCAGTCAAACCAACATGTATCTTTCTGTTTTCACGATGGAAAAGTCCTCTTGCTCACCCTGTCATTAAAAACACCGCTGTCAGCTAGTGAATGCACGGTAGATATGAAAAATGCAGATATATTTTCTTCCCAATTTTCCATATTTTCATTCTGTCTTATTCATGTATGACTCATTTCTTAAACATTGCAATTTGATTCATTTCCATTAGTTATCTACGAATTCTGCGGAAAACTTTTGAAATATCTTAAGTTTAGTTGTTATAGTAACACATCTCTTTTCTTCCAATCGTTCTCTCCCTTTGCCATCTTGCTCTCGCCTCTATCATGAATTCTGCTATGTTCCGTCAGCGTTGAATTTTTTTAACCAGTGGCTGTGGCACAGGTGCACTTTCCTATTGGTAGCTGAAAAGTATATGAAATGAACAGTATACGAAAGTTCGATTGCAGGCTTTTTAATACGGATCGGAAGCATCATGTCTTCAAAACGGTTTTTTAAAATGAAGATTATGTGTAGCGAGAAAAAGTTTTCATGTGCTACCAAAAATTTGATGAGATACAGATGAATATCGGGAATCGGAACGACTCTGAAGTTCGAAGTTTTCCCTGTCAGTTCCTAACCTTACTCATTGCACCATCTATTTTTTCGAGTCCATGCTATTGATGCTTCGCTTTTTAGATTTTTAAATTCTATAGGTTTGACGATATAAGTACGACCAAAAATGCAGTTAACGTGTCGTTTTTATAAACAAAAACTTCCTGAAACGGATGATCTTGTTATGGTCAATGTAGCAAATATTGAAGAGATGGGTGTGTACGTCAGCCTTTTAGAATACAATAATATCGAAGGTAAACAAATTCTCTTGTAGCTACGTACATTTACTTAAAATTTCTTTTTTTCTCTATTGTAGGTATGATCTTACTTACTGAACTATCACGACGTCGTATCCGTTCAATAAATAAACTGATTCGTGTTGGTCGAAATGAAGTTGTTGTTGTTGTAAGAGTTGATCGTGATAAAGGTATTGAAACTTGTTTGTTTTCTTCGTCTTACATTTTTTAGCTTGATTAGTTGATATTAAAAATTTGATTGCTCTATCTAATTATTTGATTTTATTAAAAGTTAGCAGCATTTCAACATCGAAGGCGTCTGCATCTGATTATGCGTATACACATAAGTCCTTTTTTTAACACAAATTTGCCTTTTTAGGTTATATTGATCTTTCAAAACGTCGTGTGTCACCGGAAGATATTAGTAAATGTGAAGAAAAATTTGTTCGAGGCAAAACAGTACGTTAGCGTTTTTTCTGACTTGTTATTATTGATTATTTTCGAATGAATCAATTCATTTGAGGTGAACAGTATTCTTCGTCATACAGCTGAAGTACTTGAAATAAAAACGAATGAAGAATTTGAAGAACTGTATGAAAAAACGGCATGGTACTATGATGATAAATATAAACGTGTTGGCGCTTGTTACGATGTTTTTGCACGTGCTGTCAGGTATGTGAATTGTTCGTCTGTTTTTAGACAGAACAAGTTGCATAATAATAATGTTATTTTGATTTAGTGACGAAGTTGAATTAGATGATTGTAAAGTTGATGCGCATACAAAAGAAATTTTAATAGCTAATATTCGACGACGATTAACCCCTCAAGCCGTTAAATGTCGAGCTGGTATGGTTTGATCTTTTTTGTTTTTGTAACTAAAAACATTTTTGAAGAAAACTCGCAGAAAAATGAGTCTTTTCTACTACAAAAAGTCGATATGTTAATTCTTTCTGCGCATATTCAATCGCAGTGCCTTTGTATTTATAGTCATTATGTGTTATTTTTGCTTTAGACATTGAAGTCGCTTGTTATGGATACGAAGGTGTTGATGCTGTAAAAGCAGCTTTAAAAGAAGGTCTTAAAATGTCTACGGAGGAAATGCCCGTAAAAGTGAGTACGATAGATCTACCCATGTATTATTTTTTCTACAATGATGTATACTTATTTAAAGATCAATTTAATCGCACCACCATTGTATGTCATAACATCGACATGTCTCGATCGTAAAGATGGTTTGGGTGCGTTGGAAAGAGTTATTGAACAGATAAAATTAGGTATCGAACAGTATCGCGGTATATTCAAAGTAAAAATGGCACCAAAGGTTGTTACTGACATCGATGATCATGCATTACAAGTAAGAATATACTTAATTTTGTCTAGCCAGTATTGATTATCGTTCATTTGATACTATTAGGTACAAATGAAAATTGCCGAAGAAGAAAACAAAGAAGTGTCTGGTGACGAAACAGAAGGTGACTCAGAAAATGAAGGTAAGGTTTATTGAATACCAAATGTTTTACTATTATAGAAGTTACTTTTTTTCTTACTAAAGAAGGCATTTCTGGTAAATTACCAAATGATGAAGAAGAAGCTGATGTAGCCGGTGATGTAGCATCCACCACTCCAACAACCATAACAAAAAAGACTCCACAACAAAAAAATTCAACAACAACAACCAAGAAAACTACTGATACAGATGATGAGGAAGATGATCAAGACAACGAGGGTTAAATATTTTCTCCGGTTTTTTTCTATTTTATATTCTGTTTCAAATATATGTTTCAAAAAGGGATTTATGATTACGTATGTGCGTGCGTGTAGAAAATTTGAAGTACTGATTTTGTACTGATTTTGTTATTTTTATTGTTGTTGATAAACACGATTATACAAGCTGTGTATCCCTGTCCAATCAGAAAACGCATAAAATTTAAAAAATCTATTTCTAATTTCTTCTAACAATTGCAGATGTTCGAAGGTAAAAGTTGATACAGTTCATCCGATAATCTTATATCTGTCACTGTTGAGACTATTATTGTTGATACTTATCCTATAATTCATCCCTCGATCGCTTCTATTTTTCCACTATTACCATCCATAATCCATATTGTTATTTCGATAAACGTTTACATACATCCTCCGGAATCGGAGTTTTTACAGTATTTATTTACTTTAAGTAAAACTGGTATTACTAACCAATTTGTGTATGCTCGGTGCTTATATTAGTCTTGGGACTACAATTTGCAGGGGTGAGCGTGATTCTACTCCTAAAAACTTTATTTCTTTTTTCATCTACTATTGCTCTTTAATGAAAAGTACTGAAAAGTGAACTGTTTTGAATTTTAAGCCTTGCTCTAATAAATCTTTTCTTAATAAAACTTGTCCTTCCCATGGCCATAGAAAACCTTTATACATTTTCGTGTACTAAATCTGCTGGCCACAATCTGTCCGATTTTTGATGTAATCATATCTTATTGTTAAAGACTAATTCTATAATCGTTTAATCATAATACAAAACAATGAGAGAACTTGTGCTAATCAAAAGTCCACCATCAGTATATAAAATATATACATATTTGAGATTTTTTGATGAAAGATCAATGCTTTACTCGATCATATTTTCTATATAATCGAACGATTACGTTAATATCTGTTATTTGGACAACTGCTCTCCAACAGTCAAAATAAAATTGTTTAAAATCTGGATAATAATGTTAGACATTACAGACGAGATAGAATCATTTTCCATAGATTTACTATCTTAATTACAACTGCCACCGTGACAGACATGATCAATCGATTTTAATAATGTTTCAATTCGTTGAAATACTGGCCACATTTCTTGCTGATTAAGATCCAACGGTGGTACAGTCTGTATTTCAACAGCATATTGTTCCTTTGCTTTTGTAAGTGCTTCACATAATAAATCTCGAGCTACCTGGTATTCCTGAGTCAGAATAATGAACAGCATCGCTTTGTTATAGTAGACCGATAATAAGGTCGAATTATAGGCTGGAAGATCGAATGTTGATCGTTCGATTGCTTCATTATACATGCTCAATGAAGAGAGCATATATTCAGTTTTCATATCGTATCGTGAACTTTCCGCCAAATAAAATAATAAATCACCCTTAATACGTAAATAGAAAGTGCGAATTTCTTGACCTTGTAATTTTGACCACCAATATAACAAATGCTGATCAATCATCAACAAAATATCATTGCAATACTGATGCAATTCTAAATAACAGTGAACAGTCTAAGTAGAGTATTGGTTGGAAAAACGTTGAAATAAGCTTAACAGGGCTGTAATCCGTTTCATATACCATATTTCCAAGAAATCAAGTATTTAGAACACAAAGTTTTAAAATATAGTAGTCCAGGGATCTTCTAATAAAAATGGAAAACTCATGTACTCTTTACTCAAAGAATTCGACTAATGTACAATAGTGCTTAGTAATCAAAAGAAACTTTTCATTCACCACCTAAAATAATTTGTTTTTTATAACGTTTAGTTTGTTGTCTCGCTTGACTGTTTTCAGTTTGGACTAACACACGATTTAATTTTAACCATGAATTTCTTCTTAATTCTGTGACACCCATAAATATATAACACAGTATTTCACATTGTTTCCAATCGAGAGGAATTGATACAGAAAATGGTATTGAAAATTTTTTGATTTTTATAAATAGTTCAGACAACATGTTAAAACCTTCATCGTATCGTTTTGTTAAATGCGCTAGAGTGACACGTGTAATTGTGTCATCGACAAGTTCTTTTTGATGTTGAGTTGCAGTGTCGAACTTGAAACTTTCACCTTTTTGAAACATAAATTATTAAACTATATTTTTCAAACTCTTTTTCTTCTTAGCAAGAAGAACATTGATAAGGTTATAATTTAATTAGTACTTTGCGCCTCACAGTCAGTAACTGACTATGCATTAACTTAAAGCTAATAGAAGATTTCGTAATTAACTAGGGTAGTTAAATACTATATACACCTGTTGCCCTGCATAATTGTAACAAAAAGATTGATAATTCGATTTTCAAATAATGGAGCTTATACGATTGTATAGTTAGACCAGTCAGCTGATATCTGAGATTTAGTATCTACTGTCAAACACCAAAACACGTATTAGCCTAACTACGAGATTCATCTGTAAAAATCATTCTTTAATTTTTGTTTATCGACTATTTGTGATGATTTATGTTGCTTTGACAAACGTAAGCTGTGGTATTCACTAGTAAGAAACAATCACTTAATTAGCTATATGGAAAATTAACATACCGTTTTCTGAAACTAGATTAATACAAGCAAAAGATGAAAGAACTTTCACTTTTTCTTCTGTATTTATGATTAAGCACTGAAGTTTGAGATTCAGTGCAGTGAAATTCGGAAATTAGAGTTCTATAGGATAAACATAGAGCCACTTGCTCAGTATGTTGCGTATTTCTAAGCCGTTTTTGATCTGATATTGAATATTGAGGTACAGTCACCATTTGTGTACCTGCTAATGAAAAAATCTTCTGAAAACGAGCAGCTTTCAAACGGAGACTATTACCTTTGAAGCGGTCGGATTTACTCCATAGGACTCTAAAACAAAATTTTATTTTCTATTCATGAAAATATTAGCAAAAATGTTAAATAATTCGTGTTTTTTTTTTTAATAGAAGATATCAGCTGCCTCAACTCATACAGAATTTAAAGAGCTATCAAAAATACTGTTGTAAGTTGACTATTATTCAAAATTCTATTTGAAAATTGTTCAGATTATTAATAATTGTAAATGTTTTTGATATTGATTTTGATCATTAGACAAGGGGACAAAACTGATTTGAATCAATCCAAATCTTTCAAATCTTCAAATCAGTTTTTTCCTAGTAAGCTTTGTGTTATTCATCCGCTTTTTTGGTTTTTCATTATGAACTCCATCCGTACTCGCACCTATACACATATATCACGATTTTTGATATAAGAAAACGTGACAGTAAGCGTAATATTGAGGCCCGTTTTTGTTTATTTAGTAGATAAACAATTTGTAACAGTGAGGTTTCTACTTTTTCAAGCGATAGCAATCTTATTGTTGTTCAATATTTCTCGATAGATATTTTAAAATTAAATGTTTTATGGTCGACTTCTCAGTTTTATTATTTTTTATAGCGATATTTGCTTGTAGAGGCGCATCTTCTCTCGAGCGCGTTAATTATTATATTTTCATGTTCTGTTCGGTTAGCTTCTACAATGTGAACCTACTTTATGATGTAGTAAAAAACAAAAATTCGCTGTAGTAAAATATACAGACTAGTATATTGACATTTCTTGACTTTTTTACGTTTTTAAGAAAACTAAGCAGATTTAATATAACTGTAAAACATTTTTGTAAAATTTTTTATATCATTTTACGTATAAAGCAAATTTTTGATACTTCACAGTATCATCATCGAACAATTTTGTTGTCTATTGTATTAAATAGATATTCAAATAATTTTATTACACTCTAACAAACAGAACGATGTAACACAGACAATATTCCCTAAAGAATTAATTTTCTCTCGAACGATGAATCATGATGATTCCATTTACATGTCAGACAACTAATGATAATATATAGATATATTTAGTAGAAAAAAGCAAATAGACAACAGTCTGTTTGATCTAAATGTACAATGACAGATTCTAAGAGTTAGATATGGAAACTGACGATTTTATCGTGTGACTCGAATTAGATTTTTGATTTATTCTGCACTAACGTAATAACTCCTGTTTCTTTTCTTCAATGCAAATGTTGATAGTTTAACGAGGTAATCTGATGATCTTTTGAATATCACTGTAACTATGTATTACTAAAATATGTGCAATCTATCCTTTTTACCTTTTTTTTCTTTTTTGCAATTCGAAGATTCAATTGAAGATAGTGTTCACAATTGGCGTATAAATTGTGTTATTTAAACAGGATTCGTTCAGAAGCAACATAGCAACCATATTCTCTCGATTAATAGTTTACGTATTTAACGTGACAAAAGTTATAGTATATTGTTGAAGTAGAATACATATACAAAAGAAAAAAAAATGAATAAAATATACAAGTGTTAAGAAGGATGAAAAAATATTTGATTTCATTTTTTCTTCCTCATATCACACATATTTTACGATACAATCATTAAATTTAATAAAAGTAAGGTCAGTTTGCTGTCCAGAGCGTTATATCTCTACAGAAAAACAGAAGTAATCTGACTTCGAGTCGAACTAGTTTAGTCATCCAGTTAAACTGACTAAAACAAGGAAAGATTATTTGACTTACAAAAATGCTTTTTGTTCAAATAAGACAAATATTTTTGTTTAGTAGACAATGAATATTTCTCTTTTTATATGCGATCCAAAAAAGAAAATTATAGAACTAGTTCTTGTTTAAATTTGATTGTTGTCCGTTGCGTTCGACTCTTTATTTTTTGGTAAGTCTATTCTTAGAGAATAGTTCTAACACTGTCATACAAAGAACGAGATATTACATATATATATATATATATATATAGTTAGATTCAGATAGAGAAAGATAAAGGAAAAAGTGAATGTGCTGATCATGATTATAATCATTTGTGAGACAAATGACAAGCTGCAGAATTTGCTTGAGGATGATGATTTTATTTTCCTTATATTCAGCAACATCAAATCATTCATTGGATATATAAGGTCATCATCACTATCTGTAAAAAAACTAAAAGAAAGAAAAGAATTTATTTCATGCACACGCACACTGTATCGAAACTTCTATTATAGTTTGATTGTTATATACTGTGGCAAAGTAGATTACCATAAATTAATTCATTAGTTTCGGTAGAAAGTATGGCTCATAATATAAGCATAGCGCTTGTTTAAACACTTGCAAATATATTTATTCAACATCAGGCATCCATGATAGAAGGTAATAATGAAGCTAAAATTCATATATTTATACTAAATAATAAATTCAGTGAAATAATTTTTAAAAACAAAAAAGAAAACAATTTTTGATCACATCTTATTTTCTTTTTAAGGAACAATGGATAATTCTTATAAACGACAGTCATTATCCTCGTCTTCAGCAGCCTACATGAAAGAATTTCAACAAAAATTTGATAATCTTACTTCTCGAATAACCAAAGGTCATAAACAATGTGAACATATTGAAATGCGTGCTTGTTTAGCAGAAAAACGTTTATGTAATTTAAATTATTCTGTACAAAAATTATCAAGATTGATTGAAGTTAGTTATTTATGTATTGACTATCCGGATGAAAAACAAGCGTGGATTCAAGCAGTAAATGATCTAATTGATCCTATTTATTCATTAGAATTATTAACACAACATTCTCTAACAAATCTTACGGAAAAGGATAATAATAAAGATGAACATCTTATTGAAGAAAATTTATTTGATAATTTAAAAACATCATCGTCATTACGTAATAATCCAGTATTGATAAAATTTTGTAAACGACTTGATTCGCATTTGAAACGAACACTCGAAAGTGAACGAGAAAAATTAGAATATATCTATGCTATCTGGTTGTTAGCATTTACTACAACATCAACATCCAAACAGCATTAAACTAAGACGAGATTTTCTGACGAAAAACAATCAGTTCATACACAGCCTACACTTTACTAGTCAAATGAATTTCGATAATAATCTTTCCACATACCGACTTTTAGATCTGAGGTCTACAAAACGTTTTATTGTGTCTTCTTCCAATAATTCAATAAACATGTCTTCTAATCACTTCAAAATAGGGTTATTCCTTCAAATCATCTTGTCTGATAGAATAAGAGATTCTATCAGAGTCAAGTTGTTTGTACTACCAAATGTTGAATATAGATGTCGTCTGTTGATAATGTTGAAAAGTATCACATTCTTCAGGTGTGATAGAACACTGAATTAACAACTTCGTCCTTCGATTATCTGAGCCTATATTTTACCTTAACTAATTCAGAAAAAAAAGCTCTTACGATACTACAGATGATTCGGTATAAGCTAGATTTTACATTCATGAAGAATAGAACTACATCTCTGATGCATAAAAAGATCGATTGTGCACAATTCTCTTCTCAAGTCTATTGGATAATAAAGTATGCTATCGAACGAAACAACGACTAAAAATAAAAAGCATTCGATGATTATTTTATTTATTATGTTACAAGGTAACGCTCGTCTCCACTCGCTCGGTCCCTTGGCTTTATTAAGTTGGATGTGCGCAAGCGAACGCCCTTTGGCGACTTATGCTCACGCCTCCCTTCGGTCCGCGCTCGTTGGGGCCCTAACTAAGGCATCTTCTGGATTTCTTTTCTTTTTTTATGTATAAGGTTCGTAATCTGCTATAAATATATAAATCAAAAATCTGTAGAGGTCTAAACATATTTATCAATTCAAAACAATGCTCACACCTCCCTTCGGCCGGCGCTCGCTGGAGATCTGCGTAAGACATCCTCTGGACTTTTTCTGTTTTCATGTGTAAGGTTCGGAATCTAATATGAATATAAAGAGCAAAAATCTCAAGAGGTCTAAAACTATTTTTGGATTCAAAACAATCCTCACGCTTCCCTTCTGTCGGCGTTCGCAACTAGTATAGATGAGGAATGCCATGAACTTCGCTGATTCCACCGGAAAACCATCTAATGTAATATAAAGCTAAAAGGTTTTCTGCACACTCCCTGCAGATCCCAAGGAGGTTGGAAGTATTTCTAATCGATTTGTTATAATAGATTATCTATACACTGTCAATTTTATTACCCGTACACCACTTTTTTTGTATTGTCACAGTTGACTGCTATCTGGCAATATCTACCCTCCGCCTACAGAAAACGTTGGTTAGCTGTTTACCTCTCTGCATCAGTACATATTTCAGATGATCTCTTTGCATATTTTCTCTCTTATGTAACAAGGTAACGCTCGGTCCCTTGACTTTATTAAGTTGGATCTACGCAAGCGAACGCCCTTTGGTGACTTATAAAACGAACACAATGCTCACGCCTCCCTCAGATGATCTCTTTGAATATTTTCTCTCTTATGTAAAAAAAAATTTTCTATTTTTGTCTCTTGTGATCCGCTTATCCATAGAATATCTGACAGCCATTTTTCCATATTTTGCACACACACACACACAGATGACTATTTTGTAAGACCCCAGACTAGAGTCAAGGGAATATGGATTCGATATTGATTCCAGGGGCGTACCTACTAGGGGGTTGTGGGGACCACCCCCCCTACTTTCAGAAAAGTTTCTGTTTCGTGTCTTTCGCTCTTCAAAAAAACATCTTTTTTGGAAGAACAAAAAATTTTTTTTGGCAGGACCACCTACCTGCTGTGACATGCTAGCTACGCCCCTGATTGATTCAATATTGATTCATCATGGCTGATTAACTCCTTTTAGTCGTGAATAGTATGGCTAAAAGAACGGTTGAGAAAGATTTACCGTCAATAAGAAGAGTATTCAAAAGTAAAGTAAAAGACGACAAATAAAAAATTAATAAATCGAAAGTCATTTTTAGTAGAGTGAAGCAGAAAGCGTCTTCTGCTTTCCGTTGCGCTGACGAAATCGATAATAGAAATGTAAGAAAACTTATAGATATAACATGAATTATTGAGCCTATTATATGTTTTATTTGTGACTAACTTAAAAAGAACTTCATTCAACTAGAAGAAAACAGCAATGGTTTTAATGAAAAGTATAAGCAAAGGATGTTTTCACAGTTAAGCACTGCATTTTACATGTTCTTCCTGATAAAAACGGAATGAAAATCCGTTGTGTTCACGTTTCCGTCATTAGTAAAAACGGTGAAAGTAGATAGATATTTAAAGGTACATAGAAAGTTACACCTTTAGCTTTTTCCTCTGATTCATTGGTATTTACCTTATTCTTGTCAGAGATGCGTAGGATGAAGTTTTTCATCTTGAGGCATTTCTTGTGCTATTCTGTTCATTTTTCAAACAATAGCCAAAATCCGTTGATTTTTCTGCTCCAAAGCTATTAAATTTGTTCTCTCTTTTTCCTTGCCGTCATAATTTTATAAATTTCTATCTTATCCAACGATGATGCATAGATAGTGCAACGTGTCATTCATTAACTTTGAACTTACCTTAATTTGACGTCTTGAGTTCAAGCTGATGCTTTTTAGATCGGTGTTTTGACAAGCAATAGTTGAAAAATGGCTAGTGCTGATGTTTTTGATATCCTACAAGAAACACCTCCATCTTCGAGACCGATCAAAGATGATACCTTACGCGAGAAGGTAAAAATATCTAATTGTTTTTACTGATATTTCCCTATTTACTAAGAATTTCTTTTCTTAGAAAAAGAAAAACGTAATTCGTCGACCAGAAGGTATGAAACGTGAAGTATGGGACCTTATTGCAACTGACGATAGGTATAGTTAAAGTTGTAAAAAAATCGATAGATGGAAGTTGCCAGTTTTAATACTTTTTTTCACAGACAAAGTGTTCCAATTGTGCCAACTGATACAATGTATGGTGGAAATGCATATGCAACTTGGATAAAACATTCGTCAATGAAAGTCCGCCCATGGCAATGGATTTCATTTACTAATCCAAGTCGAACAGATAATCTTCAACTTAAGCATTGGCAACGCACAGTAGATCAACATCAAGAATATCCATTTGCTAAGTTTAATAAGGTATACATAAATCTCTAAGTGTTTTATTGTTTATGCTTCATCTCGTATACGGTCTTTTTAGCATGCTGATATTCCATCTTATACAGATAGTGATTATGAACAATATTTACAAGATAATGATTGGTCTCGAGACGAAACAGATTATTTAATGGATATGTGTAAACAGTTTGATTTGAGATTTATTATAATACAAGATCGTTGGAATGATGTACAATATAAAGAGCGATCGGTCGAAGATATCAAGGAAAGATTTTATAGTGTTTGCAAAAATCTGGAATATGTATGTTAGCAGTTTACTCAAAAATGGACTAGTAGATCATTGGTTTTTCGTAGGGACGAACTGGTCGTCATTCTGGAAGATACAATTATGATGCTGATCATGAAAGACGCCGTAAAACACAATTAATGAAATTGTATTCACGAACAAGAAAAGAAGTAAGCATTACCAAAGTTTAAGTTTTCTTTGACTAAAAGATAACTAATTCTTTTAGGAAAATGATGAAAATTATCTAGCGCAAGAATTGAAACGAATTGAGAGTGAGCGAAAAGAACGTGAACGAATTATATCCCAGGATGTTCAAAAGTTTGCTACAACAATGAATAATAACAATAATCCCGAAATCGATTCAACAATACAATCTATACAACAACAAACACCACCTATGGATACGAGTTCCACACCATCGTCATCAAGACGAACATCCTCGACTGTCACCGATCTTCGACGTTCAATAAGTGAAAAAGATAAAGGAGCATTGTCAAATCGAAATAGTACGACATCGAGAGGAGTAAGTTAGAAGCGTTACTTGAATCTGCTATTTCTGAAAATGCTTTTCGTTTTAGTCAATAGCTGAACATGTTGGTATTAAGTTTCCAGAATTTAAACGACCGGGTGTTTTCCTACGAAGTCAACGGGTACATTTAGTTTAAAAATATCACAAAAATTAAATTTACGTTAATAGTTATGTTTTTTAGATGCACTTACCATCCTCAATACCGAATAAAAAGCTTGTTGTTATCGATCAAGTTTTAAAAGAATGTCAAATAGGTAAATACAAAAAAAATGATGTTGTACTGTTAGTTTTTAGATACGATAATTTTATATTTAGAACGTAATCCAATGGCATGTGAAGAAATATGTGAAGAATTTAATGATCTTCGTTCCGATATTGTTTTATTATTTGACTTGAAAAATGCATTGAATTCTGCTGAATATGAGTTACAAACATCGTTACATCGATTAAAGAATACTAACGAGAGCGGTCAGCCACATCCAAGTCCTAGTAACAGTGCTACTGACATTTCAAAGATGGTAAGATTGTAATGTGAAATAATAAGTCTTATCCTGAACCCTGTAAACATAGATTCATTTGGCAAGCGGAAAGCAGATTTAGCCAGTCACTAGAACGAGATAGTTGCTTCAATTATGATGTATAATTGATTGCTAAAATTGCTTGAATTCCACGGTTGTCAGTCATAGATTCAAAGTAAACAGTCTGGCGTACAATAATTATAATTTACCTGCTCCTGCATAAGAATTTTCAATCATTTTAGCAATCTGATTATCTCCTACCACAGTTATCATCATCATCAGCATCATTACCATCAATAATAACACATCCCACGACGACAGCAACAACTACAACTGGTCGTTTATCCGATTTATTTGAATCAACAAATTCTGTTCGTGCTAGTGCTTGTGTAAGTTTCAAAACTGCATGCTGCAATATACTCAATTTTATTTATTATATATATTTCATTTTTTAGAAACGTCGTACATTATCATTTCAAAATTCAGTACTGAAAAAACGTGAAAAACAATTATAGAATAATGTGCTGATTTTGCGTGTGTAATTATTTTTGTGAATTACAGACATGTGCTTATTTGCCATTGTGTAAATATATTAGTGTTATTTCATA